TTTTGCATAGTCAATAAAGCACAAATAGACATTCCTCTGGTACTCTGTGCTTTCAGCCAAAATCCATCTGACTTTGACAATGATATCCCTAGTGCCACGGCCTCTTCTAAACCCAGTTTGTATTTCTGGTAGATCTCTGTTAATGATGTACGGTTTCCAGTCGATTTTGCTTACATGTGATATTAATGACATTGTTCGATAATTTCTACTCTCTGTTGGATTAACTTGTTTTTGCAATGGGAATAAATATGGATCTCTTCCAGTCTGTTGGCCAGGTAGCTGTCCTCCAAATTTCTTGGCACAACCTGGTGAGCATGTCCAGGGCAGCATCAGTTTGCTAAAATATGTCAGCTGATGTTCCACCAATTCCTGAGTCTTTGTTTTTTTTTTGCCAATTCCTTCAGAGCAGAATTTTCTTATTATTCACTCTTATCCTCACCTGTACTATCAATTCCAGGACATCAGACTGTAAAAATCTCTAAGCAATTTATCTATGGATTTAGTTTTTCAATCCCCACGATTTGCATAGGCCAATTTTTAAAATTATGTTTCTATCTCTTTACTGTTTTTTATTGTCTCCAGGGAGCCTTGGTGGCACAGTGGATTAAGGACTGGGATGCTAACAGAAAAGTCTGTGGTTCCAACCTAACAACCACTTCTCGGGATAAATACGAGGTAGTCTGTTCCCAAAATGATTCACAGCCTTGGAAACCCTATGGGTCAGTTCTGCTCTGTCCTGTAAAATTACTAGGCGTCAGAATCAACTCAACAGCACAGGGAGTGGAAGCTTCTCTAGGAAACCCCCAAATAGGCAGTTTGTCAAACCTCATCTTTAATAAAGTCAGGAGACCCACGCTGAGGGTCTGCTCCTCAAGCAACCCATTCTTGAGAGAGCGTTCACATGCAGAACACTTCAGCTTTTCAAAGGGCACAGTTCCATAGCTTCTGGCAGTCGGCGTTATGCAACCATGATGCGATCGATTGCAAAATACTTGCATCAAACAGACACATGGCATCCTCCATTAAACACTGCTGGATTGGCAAGATATATGCACAAACATATAGTTGGAGTTGTCAGGTGCTCTCTGTTGGGTCAGCTCTGACTTACAGCAACTCCGTGTACAAAAGAGCAGAAGCCAGGCCTCTCCCATATTTCCTTTCACGGGGGGAAGTCCTTTCTTCAGGATGTAACTTTCTAATAAACCTATCGTTACCTTTTTACCTTTACTTCTGCCTCCTTCCCTTTTTATTCTTGTTCCTGCATTCTAACAACAAGCTTCAGCCTACACTTAAACGCTCCATGCACTAAAGTCAGCTCTCCCAAGAAACCCTAAAATTGCTGTACACTGCACTACCTTGGTACGTAGGCATCGTCTCCTCTGCCTGGTTTAACTCTTTTGCCTGTGTGAGAAGGGCAAACCAGGGCATTGACCCTGTGGGAGCATTTTGGTGCTAAAACCCAGGAAAATTCGAGAGGATGAATTTTCTACCATCATCAAGATAGACCCAAACATCTAATTAAATGCATAGCCTAAGTTCCTATTTCCAGCCATAAACGTAAGTTCCTTATTATTAGGTGGTCCAGATAACTTGAAAATTGAAGTTGACACTTGAAAGAATTCCTGAAACACCTGCCTGACTTGCCTCCCCACTAAAGAAAGGACTCACAAACACCAAATGGTCTTGAAATCGGAAGCTCCTGGTCACAAGGATGGTGAGTTGTGTCCTTGGTGTCCCTACTGCACGTGTGAAGTCTTGTGGAAACATCATGCTTTTTAAGACTAAGTCAAGAAAGGAGCTCTGGTTCCGGAGGGACTTGACAAGGTCTCAACAAAGAGGGTGTCCCTTTGGAAGACATAATGAGGTTCCTGGTTCAACAGAGCAAATTTCAGCAAGTGTTGGGGGAAGTGGTGAAAAATGACTCGTGTTATGAAGATATCCTAGTTTCTTGAGTTTCTTTTGTGCTATCAATCACAAATGTGTTGCTGCCGTAAACAGAAAAAGGGAGTGTGACAGGAGACTTCCTTGGGCTTCGTTTGCAAAAGGAGAGTAAAGTCACTTATATTTTGGTAAACTTCCTCTGATAATCTCCATATTTTCCCACAATAAATTGATTATTCACTAAAAAAAAAAAAAAAGTGGGAAATGCTGAGCTGCTCTCTGACAGTGAGACTGCTCTAGATGCAGAAACTGTACCCACTCCCATCCCTGAGCCGTCTATTGGGGCAAATGCAGGTCTCACCCTCAGTTGGACTCTGCCGGGACACTACCTGCGCACATATTTCTTCTCCAAGTGGATGTTCTTGTAGCCAATGATACTGTCGGGGTCCTGGCTTGCACTTGGGCTGAGCCCCAACATGGCCTCGGCTTTCCTTCTAAGAAAGTTGAGCAGGTCGCCATAGCAACAGTATTCAGTGATGACTAGGACAGGACCTAGAAGAGCCAAGAGAGGTGGGTGGGGTGTGAGGGCACCACTTGTCCTCACCCCAAAGAAGTATGAGGCCAGGTGGAATGAGGTACCCCAGAAAGAGGCTCCAGAGAGCTGGGTTCCATTCCTGACTCTCCGCAGGCCTGGTTTCTCCACTGTCTGTGCCCAGTCATCCATCTGTCTAAAGCAGAGCTTAAACATTTATTTCAGCCAAGGAGATACATGGTAGAGCAGTGTAGAGGAAAAGAAAGCAAAGCTGGTACAGGTGACGAGGATGAGGGGGGTGTGCAGTCCGGACAAGTCCCAGGGCACCTCAGTGGACCCAAACTTCTTTAGGTAGGGGCTTCTTAAAAGATAGATCTGGGGGCCTTGCTTCACACTCAGAACGAGAGCCTTGGCAACAGGGCCATGAATACTTCACGTTTATCTCCCTACCAGGCATGTTTGAGGCTCTCTGATACCTCAGAACTGCTGGTTGGAACTCCACTGTGCCTGCAGCCCCAGACGTAGCTTCTGACTGACTAGGAACTCTGACCTGGGAGCAATGGGCTCAAGTATGTCAGAGACAATGAGGATGGCGCAGGATAGGACAGGGTTCAGATCTATTGTTCATCAGGTCACTATGAGCCATACTCAACTCGACGGCACCTAAGAACAAGAAGAAGGCGCCGGGGCTTAGGGAGCTCTGGTGGCCTAGTGGGTAGGGAGGGGTGCTGCCATCTCAAAAGGCAGGCGGTTTGAATCCACCAGCTGCTCTGAAGGAGAAGGTGCACAGTCTCTTCCTGTGTAATTTACAGCCTCTGAAAATACACTGGAGGCTCAGCTGGAGCTAGTTGTGGCCTGAGGACAGCAAGTGTTTTGAGAAGGCAAGGCAGAGATGTGGAGGTTGGTACAGGAGGGTTCTGTTCTGTTGTACGGAGGGTCTCTATGTTAGTAAACCAGGTGAGTTTAAGGCAAGGCATTAGGAGGAGATGGCAAAGAGAAGATGGCGTGAGCGGCCCTATCCCACCAGGCCCTCTCACCTCCATGCGTGCAGGCTCCAAGAAGGTTGACTATGTTCTCGTGCTGGCCCAGGTGACTCATGATCTTCAGTTCCGACATGAGGGCCTCCTTCTCGTCAGCGTGAGCCGTGGCTGTGTGATAAGACCACAGATGCCACTGGTGAGGGCAAGGAAGGACACAGTGTCATAGGAGACCCCTGTGCAGACACAAGGGAAGGAGCGGCGGAGTGATCAGAGTAATCAGAGGACAGAGGACAAGGAGCAGGAGAGAGAGATGAGCCCTTGCGGTGCGAGGAAACCAGCTGTGGCCAGGCCTCGGACCCCAGGTGACCTGGTGATCCCCAGCCTCTGTGAGACTGAGCTGGAGGCCCTGACACGTGGGACCTTCCTCAGAACCAGGGCTTAGGGGAGCATGGAACTCATGAGTAAGGCCCAGAGCCTTCACCTCCAATCTCATCCAGGATCTGAGCAGGAAGAAAATGGGGGCCATGCCTTCTGAGAAGTCATTCCCACCCACCGCTCCTTCTCCCATGCTCTCTGGGGAGCCTGTTCCCCACTGCTCCCCAGGAGCCCCTTCCCCCATGCTCCCTGGGAGCCCCTTCCCATCCAGCCCCTTCCTGACTCACACTTGAGCATCTTCACAGCCACCTTCAGGACAGCGTCTTCCTTGCCCAAACCAAAGGCCGTGGCCTCCACCACCTTCCCAAAGGCTCCAGCTCCGAGGGTCTTACCTGCCACAAACACAGGCTCTTAGGTCCCAGGGCACCAAAGGGTCTTCCCTCTGGGGGCCCAGAATCTCCCTGCATGCCCTGCTGAGCCTGAGATGGGGAGGGGATAAATGGTGTGGAGATCCCATCTCACCAAACTGTAAGTTGTTTCTGGGGAACTCCCATTTCTCGTTGTAGGGCAGCTGTGTGGGGTCGATGAAGGTGTAATTGTTGCCCTCGTAGCTCTCGATAATCTTCCAGCGCACCTGGTACTTGGGCTTCTGCAGAAGGAGAAGGAAAGCATATATTGACAGGTCTGGCTAGAGGATCCTGGGCCTCACTCCCTGTGAGCAGAGGGTGTGGGGCAGCCTGACATGTGGTGAAAGGGGTCAGTTCATCTCATGGACACTCCAGAGGAGCCGGTCCCAGCTCTGACTCTGCCTTACTGTGCTGTTAGGGTCACCTTGTGCTGCAGGGGCAGGCCACCCCATTCCCTTATCAGTTTTCCATTCTGTCTGAAAAGCTTCACAACATGACGTGATCGTCATACACTTCTCCCTCCACAACCACAAGCAACCACAGAAGAAGGAATTAAACCAGGAAGAAGACCCGTCTTCACATTAGGTCCTCAGGAGATGGATGGGCAATCTCCTCCTGGGCGATTTACTGCCTCTGAAAACTCCCTGGAGGGTCAGCTATGCGTCTTTTCTGACTTGAAGGTAAACAAACCACCCTGACCCATGCCTTTCTCACTCTCCAGAAGACTGGCTGTCTTTTGCTTCATATGCTTTTCTTTCCTCACTTATCTGGTGTTTGTGTGTCTGCGGTGAACCTCCAGAGAGGGCTTGCTAGTCCTCCTCAAAGTGTCCAATCCTGAGAAATTCGTTCAGGCCAAAGGAGCCTAACCACGTGGCCCTCCCTTCTCCAAGCCTCGGTTTCCCTGCCTGTGTGTTGAACGAGCAGTGCAGGATAAGCTCTGACCAACCTGGCAGAAATGTGGTCATTCTTGAGCTGGGAGGAAGGGTGGAACTTGAGGTCTGTCCATCCACCCAGACATCTACTCATGCATCCTTCCACGCATCTGCATCCACACAGGTGTTTCACTGAGCACCTGTTTGTGTTAGGCATTGCCGAGTCGGAGTCGAAGCACACAAAGGCCCGGTTCTCCTAGTTTGTGCTTAGTGGCTGACACAGGCATTAGCCTCATATGTGGGGGATATTTTAAACAGTGCTGTGCAGAAAATAGAGCAGGGATAGAAGGTGGCACAAATGACTTGCACTTGGCTACTAACTGCAAGGTTGGTGGTTTGAATCCATCCTGTGGTACCGTGCAGGAAAGACCTGGCGCTCTGCTTCTGTAAGATTAAAACAAAAGCCAAACCCATGACCTGACCCACTGACCCCAAGTGTAGCAGAATGGGATAGCTCCCCAGGTTTTTCTTGAATGTAATCTCACCAGAAACAGTTCTCCAGGACTTTCTTCTTCCACGCCACTGGGTGGGTTCCAACTGTCACCTTTTAAGTTAGTGGTCAAGTTGAAGGAGCGCTATTGACATAGTGCCCTATGTGTTGTGCTGCTAAAGGAAATAGCGGTAATTCGAATCTACCAGCTGCTCCAAGGGAGATAGATGGGTGACCTCTCCAGATTGAGATATTATAGTTGCAGAATGGAAGTTTTCTGAGAGTCAGAATCTACAGGACAACATTTGATGACACTGTGAGGAGTCAGGTACAAACCATCTGCACCAACCACTTAGAGGCCTCTCTGTAGGATTGTTGTTATATGAGGTCGAGTTGGAACCACTCATAGCTGACCTTCTAGAGGATTTTCAGAGGCTGTATTGTGCAAGAGAAGACGATCCTAGATGAGATGGATTGACTCAGTGACAGGGATAGTGGGGATGGGTGTGTCAGAGATAATGAGGTTGGCTCCTATTAAAGCAGGGGTCAGAGCTGTTGTACGTAGAGTCGCTATAAGTTGCAAGAGACTTGACAACACATAACAAAACAACATCAAATTGCACATGTGGTGATTGCCCATCTTTCGTGTGCAAAGCAGCCGGTGGGTCCTAACTGCTGGCCTTTGGGTTGGCAGTGTGGATCCTGACCCACTAGGTCACCAGAGCTCCCTTCAGTAAAACAACAGAAAGCCTATGGACACTTGCCTGGGGTTACCATGAGCTGAGTTCAACCTGATGAAGACTTTTTTAATGGTAAAGAGTGATCCAGGTGGAGCACAATTTAAGATAAATCATGGAAGGCTTCTGAGGAGCTAACCTTAGAGTGGAGGCTCGAATAGAGAGGCAGCACCAGTGAGAATCAGGAGAGAAGACCTTTCAGGGGCAAATGGGAAAGCCACAGGTGAGAAGATCCTGGCAAGTTTGAAGTCTGGGAGGGAACCAGTGTGGTGTAAGGGATAACTAGAGAGGCTTGAAGGCCATGAGGTATGTGTGTGTGGGAATTCCTTTTGACAAGTGCTTGAGGGTTTGTACAAAGTGGCGTCATTATAAGGGAGCTCTGGTGACCTAGTGGCAAGAAGCTGCACTGCAATCCCAGAGGTGCATGGTTCAAATCCACCAGATGCTTTGCCGGAGAAGGAGAGACAATCTCCTCTTGTACCAGTCAGATCCGATTTGATAGCACATGCACACACACACACACACACACACACACACAATTAAAAAACAACAAAGTGGCACATTATGTGACCTTACGAGAGCAAGAGCAAGTGTGAGAGCGAGGGCGAGTGCTGGAGAAGAGAGCAGAGTGAGAGCAAGTGGACACATCTGAGAGGGCAGTGGGCATCCGCCGGGCCAGGAAAGAATGAAATCACTCCGAGTTTGTATGCCCTCGAAAGACAGGGGCCCAGATCTGGGAAGTTCAGGCTCTGCCTCTCTCCCACCCTGGGTGGCAGCTGCATGGGGGCCATCCTGCCAGCTGTGCTGTGCCCACGAGAAGTGCTGATGGAAGACTGAGTTTAGGAGGAAGCTGGGCCGGGATAACAGAGGACACTGAGTTCCAGGGTCAGCAGACTAGCTTTGCTTCTGGTCAGGCATTAGTCGTGGGGGCCAGCTTGCATCTGCTGGTAGCTGGGCTCCTCTCTGGGCACCCCCATCTGCGGAGCCACTACACACTACGTGGTGAGGCGGCCTGTAGGTGCAAGTCTTACCCAGGATAGGAGAGAAGGAGAAAAGCTAGCTATAAGAAAGAACTTCCAGTTGGTTGTTGTTGTTATGTGTCGTCGAGTCGTTTGCAACTCATAGCGACCCTATGTACAACAGCCCTAAACTCTGCTCTGTCCTGTACCAATTGCACCGTCTCCAATACACCTATCCCGATTACCCCAGTCACTGAATCAATCCACCTCATAGAGGGCCTTCCTCTCCTGTGCTGTCCCTCCACCCTACTAAACATGATTTTCCTCTCCAAGGACCTATCCCTCCTTACAACATGTCCAAAGTATGTCAGACGAAGTCATAGAATCCTTGCCTCCATGGAGCAGCCCAGTTTGACCCTTTCCAGGATAAACCTGTTGGTTTCCTAGCAGTCCGTGGTACCCTCAATACTCTTCTCCAGCACCACAGCTCAAAGATATCAATTCTCCTTCTATCCTCCTTAGTCATTGTCCAACTCTCTAATGCATAACAAGTGATAGCTAAGACCATGGCCTGTATCAGACGCACTTTTGTCTCCAGAGAGACAGCATTGCTCTTCAGTACTTTGGAAAGGTCTAGTTGGTAGGCCGGGAGAAAAGTCTATAGTTAAGTGTGAGAAAATAATTCCAAATTCTGATCAGAAGGGAAGACTGTGGAGAAACTTAAGAAGAGTGTCATGGCTTGGGAGCTAGTCAGCAACAGGCTGTGAAGAACTTGAGAGGTTCTGTGACTCCAGCCCTCTGGATGCTTTTCCAACCAGAGACACACACACACACACACACACACACACACACAGAGAGAGAGAGAGAGAGAGAAAGAGAAGGGGTGTCTCTGAGCTCTCTCCCTCTTCTGAGCCACTTCCATCTCCAGGCGCCTGTGCAGCGAGGCCTGTTTTCTCTGACACTTCTCCCTTCCCTGCCCCAGTGCAGCTGGGCCTGAGTCAGCCCCCTCGTGCCCCCAGCCGGATGGGGTGTCGGGAAGGAAAGGGCTAACAGAAGGAAGAGGTTGTTTAGCTGGAATCCCAGCTTTCTTATCCTAACCAGGATGGCTGACTGAACACTCTCCTGTCTGGGGTCTCCCCACCTTCTTCCCCCTGCTCTGCTAGTCAGGCATCAGGCTAGATGCTGAAGGCTCTGATGCCTAGGCCATCATCACTGGTGCTCCTCCACTCCACCCCCAGGAGACCCTTCAGAGAGGGGTCCATGTGGGCCGCCCACCAGCTTTCTTATTAACAACCTAACAACAGTGCTGTACTTCCTATGAGTAGAGCAGAGCCAATGTGCGTTTTCTCATGTCTTCCTCACAGCAGGCCCAGGCCTATCCCTCCAAAATTGGGGTGCAGTTATAAAAGACACCTCCTCGAGCTGAGTCTAACTTATTCTGAGTGAGTGAGAATTCTCTATCCCGGGAAGGTGGAGAGAAACTGAGGAGATCCTCAGTTCAGCACCTTCAAAACTCAGGGTCCTAAATTCTGGCTTCTGCAGCAGCCTGCCACCCCTTTCCCCCAATCTCCACATCCCCCCAAACCTCCCCACCTCTGCCTGCTGACTCTTGCCCTTTTCTCTTCCCCTTGGCTCCCTTTGTGGTCTTCCTGGGGCCAGAAAGGCAATGACTCAGCCCTGAGGCAGAAACAGCCCTGCCACAGTCAGAGAACAGTGCTGGTCAGACAGAGTCCTCTGTGAAGGCCCAACACTCAGAACCTCCCGAAGCAAAGGAGGCCCTGAGTCAGGGCAGTGGCCGTCTTGACCCCTCAAGGTCTTGCCCCACCGCATACCCTTCTCTGGCCTGGAGGTGGCTTGCGGGCAGGTGCATTTGTTGTTACAGGTTGTTGAGTTAACTATGACTCATAGTGACTCTATGAACAACAGCTCTGAGCCTTGCCCTATTGAGAGCCAACCTCACCATCTCCATTGGAGGACGAGAAACGAGGAGCTCACTGGAAATACACATCCCAAACACACTCCCAAGGGACTGCTCAGCTCGAAGCAGAAAGGGCCCAAGGGATCAGTCTGTTTTGTGAGTGACTTAAAGGCAGTTTTCAGCTCCAAATAAGGAAGAACTTTCCAATGGTCAGAGCTGCTCAAAGAAGGAACCTTCCGACCACAATGAACCAAGTCCTGTCCCTGGAGGTGGGTGAGCACTCTGGCTGTGTGGTCATGGAGGTGCCCACTTCTGACGTCTCTCCAATCCCAAGATGTATGACCTAACTTGGCCACTTCCCCTTCGGGATGAGATACTTGGCTTCCGCTCCGGATGCAGTCTGTGCCCAGTGCCGGACTGAGTCCTCTGCACGCACAATACCAGTGACTCCTCACAAAAGCCTGCTAGGTGGCTGCCACTAATACCCCATTTTACAGCTGGAGAACCAATCCTAGAGATGCCAATTTTCCTAGGATCCCATAGCCTGAGACCTACAGAAGCAGAATCTAGACTCAAATCTGTCTAATGCCCAACCCCTGGCTTTTAAACTAGATCACTAGAAGATTCTTGAAAAGTCAGTGGACAATAAGCAGTTAAGGGTCACCCCTTTCCCACTGTACAGGTGGAGAAACTGAGGCCACAAGAGGGCAGTGATACAAGTTCACAAGTTGGGATGTGGGGCTGTTTTCAGGGAGGCCTACTTGGCACTGTCTCCTTTCTCTGGCGGCTGACATGAGCACTGAGAGTCCAGATCCACAGATCCCTGGGGTTGCTGCCCCTCAAATCCCTGGCAAATCTTCTTCCCACAGCAAAACCCCTCAGACAGGTACGGAGAGGAAAAGGCAGCAAAGAGGGTCCATGATGTGGATTATTAACCTGGAAACATCCTCCCGTCTTTGCTCAAAACTATTGATGGTCCTGGATTACAGGATGGCACCCACCCTCAGACTCCCAGTCTGGCCCCACCTACTCCTACCTTGTCTTGCAGCCACTAACATTTCTGGAACTTTCCCTGGTCTTGCCCTCACCAACCCATTTTTACACACCCACCCCTCTATCCCTTGCCCTATGTCTCATTTGTGTTCCATGCCTCATTATGACTCCCGCATAACCCCCAGCCTTCAAGGCCGTCCCACCAATGCCAGTGTCCCCTGAACCTTTACCTCTGAGCTCCACAGCCTACTGGCCTGTCTCTTTTCAGCAGCTGATCCCCCCTGACCCTGTCCGTGGTTAGGATGTTGGCTGCTGGATAGGAGACACCTGGGTGCCATTCTCACCACACCCTCACTCCCTTGGGCAGGTTCTGCAACTTTGCAGAGCCCCAGTCTCCTTAGTGAAATTCATTCTATTGTACAATTCTGAAGGAGGCTCTTCCCTGTGATGGTGAAAAATGGGGCTTTGGAGTCAGCGCCTCAGGGTTTCCGCTTAACCACTGATAGACTGAGGTGACTGTCTCGACTTCCTGCTCTGTCAAATGGAGTTCCTAATGCCTGCGGTCTCCATGATGTGTCTGCTGGGGGCATTAAATGACGTAGGTGATAGGCTACATCCTTTCCTTATAAAAACGATCCTAAAGAGCCTATCACTTACTGAGCCCTCAACATGAGCAGTAAACGTGCACCGTACAACAAAAGGCAGCTTTGATTAAACATCCTGCTCACTAGACCCAGGAGCTTTGATGGCACAGGGCGTTACGTGTTGGGATGATAACCACAAGTTTGGTGGATTGAATCCACCTCTTGCTCCACAGGAGAACCGTCTCATCCTGAAAATATTTACAGCCTCAGGAACCCGGTGGAGGGTTGTCTGGAGTCGGAACCCACTCAATGGCGGGTTACTCACCAGCTTACTTGCTGCTGGGACAGGATCATGGCTGTGTACCCAGCCTCACCGGGCGTGCGCGGGGAGTGTGGGACAGAGCATCATGTCCCTGCTTCCCCTCCCCCTCCTCACTACAGCTCTCTGCCCTCACATGCTTGTCTAATGGTGAGTGATTGTCTCTAGCACTGGGTAGGGAATCCCCCAGAGACCCCTGCGTTTTGGCTCACCTCGGGCCTAGCACGATGTCGGCACACAACAGATGCTCACTAGAGAGCTGTTGGCGGACGTCTGACAGAGTGAGTGAGCACTGTGGATTTGCAGCCTGGTGGTCCCACCCCGGGCCGCCCTCGCCCTGCCCACCGAGGCCACCTGGCTCACCTGCTTGTACTTGTACAGAAGCAGCAAGAGCAGCAGTAGCAGCAAGGCCATGATGGACATGCAGGCGACCAGCACCGGTGTGAAGAGGGGCTCCTCAAAGAGCTGCTTAATTTCTCCTGGAAGGGATGAGGGAGAGCAGTGAGCAGGCAAGGGCCCTCTGCCTTCTCTTCCTGCCCAGAGAGTAAGCCAGAGCACGGCCAGGAATGCAGTAGGTACTCAGTACTGCTCGCTGACAGAACCAAGTTGTCCTATCACCAGGCAGCTCCTGGAACCTCAGTGAGCCTCTCCCAAGGACCCACCCCAGTCAGGAGCAGAACAGCCCTGCCAGCTCTGCGTTTTCGCTAACAAACCCTGTCCAGAATCACAGCCTTTTGAGGTGGGACCCTGAGGTCGTGCAGCCCCACCCCTGCCAGTGCAGAAATCCGGCTGCAGTCCCTCCTGTGATTCTGGAGGGCTCTGTCAGAAAGATCTCCTCGTGGGTGGATGGAGACAAACCTCCCCATTTCCCCTGCAGCTTCTTCACATGCTCTCCGGCACCACGCAGCACTTCACAGTGTCTAAAACCTAGGTTGATGGACCCTGGCTCTCATCTTGACTGTATCATACCCCTAATTCTCTAAATGGGGTTTAAAAGACCTAATTTTCAAGCTGTTGTTCAGAAGAACAAACAAATCTGTCTTGGAGGAAGTGCAACTAGACTGCTTCGTAGAGGTGAGGGTGGTGAAGCTTTGTCTCACATACTTCGGGCATGTTGTCAGGAGGGGCCAGTCCTTGGGGGGGACCTCGTGTGTGGAAAAGTGGAGGGTCAGCAAGTGAGAGGAAGACCCCCTAACAAGATGGGTTGACACAGAGACTGTACCGACAAGCTTGAGCCTATCAGAGACGGTGAAGATGGTGCTAGAGAGGGCAAGGTTCAGTCTGTGGTTCATAGAGTCGTGAGGAGCTGTAGTTGACTCGATGGCCTAACAACAACAACTCGGATAAAGAAGGAGGCCGGGTGGCCAAATAGATAAGTGCTTAGCTGCTAACTGAAAGGTTAGCAGTTTGAACCCACCAGCTGCTCTTGTAGTATTTCTGTTACAGCAGCATAAGGAATTAAGATGTGTGTGTATAACATCAGAGACTATTGTCTCCAATATAGGGAGGAAAATTTGATGTATCTCATAAGGCTTTGAGAGCTAATTGAGAGAACACACAACCAGCAGTAGTAAGGCTCAGAGCAGCCATATAGCCAGCTGTGTGGGGCATCGGGCCTCGGCCTCAGGGGGTCCAACACCAGCAGCTAGGGCTTGGTCACATGAGTGACCACCTCTGAGCCAGGTGGAGGCCAGGGACCCTCTTCACCCCTGTGGTCCCAGAGCCTCACTTGGACCTGGCCTCTCAAGGGAGGTGAGAGCGTCTTGTTACAAGGCCTGGGTGTCGTGTTGTTCTCTGCAGCTGGGCCCTGTTAGAACCAGAGAACGAACCCACCCAGAACCTTTCTGCAAAACAGAAAATGGCCCCTTAAGTAGCACTCGGCTATGAGCCTGATTGGCCCCGTGAGTAGTGGCCCTGAATGATTTGGAATGTGGCTGAGGGCAGGAGCCCCAGAGGTGCATGGATTAAGTGTTATGTTGCTGATTGAAAGCTTGCCAGTTCAAATCCATCAGCCACTCTATGGGAGATAGATGTGACAAGTCTGCTCCTATAAAGAAATACAGCCTTGAGGTCCCTGAGGGACAGTTCCCCCATGTCCTGTGCGGTTGCTAAGGGTGAGGATTAACTCAACAGCCATAAGTTTTGTGTGTGGCTCAGGGCAAGAAGGGTGTGTGGAGATGGACGGGGTCCTGATGACTGGCCCCAAGTGGAAGGAAGACCAGGTAAACTTGCTTGTTACCTATCCCTCTGATCAAACTTCAAGCTCCAAGAAGATGCCCTCCAAGTCCTGGCACACAGTGGGCACCAAACACGTATTTTGAAGAGAATAATGAAAATACATGAATATGAGTTGAGTCGGCCACTTCACGCCACTAGCTTTAGGCTCCTTTTCTCCGACATGTGTCTGCTCTCCTCCCCCACAGTGCAGCCCACACAGTTCTAGTTGTCCCCATCTCGCTGCCTCAGGAAACCTGGTGGGCAAGAGGGATCCCACAAGGTACAACCACTATTGCTGGGGTCTGCTCCAATTGGTCCTCTGGCCCCTGCTCCCTGGGGAATAAAGGTAGGTTTCTGAGCCCTCTCACATCCTCCCCTGGAGTGAGACAGGTGGGAGACTTACTGATAGAGACCGGCTGGAAGGTGTGGGAGGCGTTCCCTGCCGAGTTGAGGGCCCTGCACTCGTAAGTGGTGTTGTGTTCTAGGGTTTCGGGGATCAGCAGGCTCCGGACCACCACCTTCTGGAAGGGCTCCCGACTCAGAACCTCAGGGTGGGTGTCCTCCAAGACCACATCATGGGCTCCATCACACCTGGGACCAGCAAAGCATGGCTCAGAATCGTTTGGTGTCTGGCACCAAGGACATGCCCTTCCTGTAGCTGTGACCCCAGCCCTTCAGGACAGGTGTGGAAGGTGGTTTGAGCCCACTTACCTGTCAGGGTGGCCCTGGCACTGCAGCCATGTCACATTGGGCTGTGGGTACCCAGTGACATCACAGACCAGGGTCCCAGTGCCATTGATTAGAGTCCATGTGACTCTTACATCTGGGGGGTCTGAGGGGTGCAGAAAAAGGATAAGATCAGGCCAGAAGCCCCAGGTTGCCTCATCCCATCACCCCTGCTGAGCCTCCTCACTTTCCAATATTCTTCCTCTGGTCACGCCCATTTCTCCAGGAAGCCCCTGCAATCCATGCCCCCAGCGCTGTGCCAACACTCACATAGGAGGGTGAGCTCGAAGGTCAGGGATTCCCAGGCTTCCAAGTTTCTGGCCAGGAAGGCATAGCGACCAGCCTCTGAGGGCTTCAGCCGGGACAGGTAGAGGGTGGACATGCCCCTGTGGGAATGGACAAGTGGGCTGTGCTGAGAATCAGGGCAAGGCCCAACCGGACTGATGGAGGCCAGGGCCGAAACAACACCTGTAAGGGCTTGGCTTTATTGTTGATAGCATGTCTGGAGCGGCCAAACTTGAATGCCTTAGAGGCACAGGGAAACCACGAAACCTATTTCCTTAATTGGTTTTCTTATCTGTAAAGTGGTTTTGTGCTGAGGTTTAGCAGAGGTGACTTCTGTAAAGTGCCTACACTAGAGGCACCTCACAGGCACCCACAGACTGTACCTGCTTTTACCGCTATCGCTGGGCCATGCTTTCACGACAACTGTGATCCTTGCTGAAAGCATCAAAAACACCTGGGCCAGCTGGTCCCTCAGAGGACCCTGCTGAGAGGGACTGTGACCTGGACAAGAGACAGGAGGTCTGTTTCTAGCCTGGGAGGACAGAGAGGCTCGGGTTTCAGTACTCAGGTCCTGATGCTGCCTGTTCCTTTGCTGTGTGACCTCAGGCAAGCACTGCACCTCTCTGAGCCCCTTTTATGTGGGTAATGGTGATTGTAACTAATACCTACAACTGAACTGAGGATTCAAGAGGTATGCATTTAGAGTGTGATGATACAAGTTAATGGTACCATTTATTACTAGGGAAAAAAGGAGCTTTAGTAGTGAAGTGGGTAAGCATTCAGCTGCTAACCACAAGGTTGGCAGTTTGAACCTACCAGTTGCCTCATGGAGAAAGATGTGGCAGTCTATGTCTGTAAAGTTACCACCTTGGAAGCCCAGAGAGGAGGTTCTACTAGGTCCTATAGAGTCACTAGGCATTGGAATTGATTTGACAAGAGCAGGCTCTTCTTTTTAACCAAAAAAGCCTGGAAGTAAATGCTAACAAAAATTATTCTAGGCTGATTAAAATCACACATTATTCTTATTCATTCTTTTCTTACTACCAAATTTATAATTTGCCCATCAGGAATAATTTTTGTCTAGATAATAACTGTTGTTGTTGTGTACTGTAGAGTCAGAACCGACCCATAGCTGACCCTCTGACAGGTTTTCAGAGGCAGTTAGAGTGCTCGTCCTTCTTCCTCAGAGCAATTGGTGGTGGCCTCGAACTGCGTGCCTTCGGGATTGCAGCGCAGCTGCTTACCACTAGGCCACCAAAGAGATAATAAATAATTTTTTAAATAAATCAAAGCAAATGAAATATATGCTCACAACATGTTTGTAACAGTGCCTTTCACAGCTGCCAAAGGTGGAAACATTCTATTCTTCACTAACAGAGAAATGAATAGACAAAATGTGGTCTATCCATACAATGGAATATTGTTTAGATGTGAAATGGTATGAAATGCCATGCTGTAAATAAAAGTTACAACGTGGACAGACCTTGTATGATATACGAAATGGATTATTTCATTTTTATGAAAGTCCAGATTACAGAACCCTACAGAGACCAAACAGGATTAGTGGCAGGTCACGATAAACTGTGGACAGAATAATTTATGAGTATGGGAGTTCTTTTTGCGGTGATAAAACTGTTCTAAAACCAGCTATGGTGATGGTTGTATAGATCTGTGACTGTATTAAAAACTGTGGCATCGTAGACTTCAGATGGATTCCATAGAGTTCATTGTATGGTGTCTGAAGCATTTAATATAAAACCCAAAACCTAAACCAAACCTGTGACCACTGAGTCAATTAAGAAGCAGATGATCAGGTTTGCCTTTTGCAGCCCTGCTGGGTGGATTCAAACTGCCCCCCTCTAGGTATTCTCTCTCGCTCATTGCCGCTGAGCTATCTCATAGCTGACCCCTCTATCTGGGTTCCTGAGGCTATCAATTGCTTGGGAGGAGACTGCTCATCATTCTCCCTCTGAGCCTCTGGTAGATTTGAACCATCAGAGAAGTGAGGTTTGTGGGTTGGCAGTACAACTCCCTACCAACTGCGAACCAGAAATCTCTTCCAGTGAAAGCCACCGAAGGACTTAGGTGCCTCAGTGTCATTGCTGGTTCCTTCAGGGTGGAACCGACTCACAGCCAATGCACAGTTCTCAGAGGCTGTACGGCACATGGAGGGAGGTTGCCCTCCTGCCTGTCTTTCTCCTGAGGGGAAGCTGGTGGGTTAGAATCAAATGTCTTGGGTTGGCAGCACAGCTCCTTACCCACTAGGCCACCAAAGCTCCCTGATAGGAGAACTTTTAAAATAAACCATAACAAATTAGCACCTCTTTTTGTGGAAAATACCTGTAGCCATAATTTGTACGATATTCAAAGGGTTGTTGTTGTTGTTATTTAGAACTATCATGTCAGAATCAACCCATAGCTGACCATCCAGTGGGTTTTCAGAGGCTGTTATCACACGGGAGGAGATTGTCCATCCTTCTCCCAAAGGGTAGGCTCATTAAACATGACTTTTGGAGTATAATCCCTCTGTGCATGTCAAATCTTGAGACAGTTCAGTAAATAACGTTTCCCCTTAAACTGAAAATAATTTAACTCGTTCTTTAGTTGGGTGTTGTTATTTCTTTTTTCTTTTTTTTACGGCACAGCCACGTTATGAACACAACCTAACTAAGGTAAGTGCTGGCAAGGCTCTTCCTGGTGTGCAGGCTTGCCCATCGCCGTGCTGTCAGCCCAGACTGCGCATTCTGGAGGATCTCCGTGTTTCCTTTCCACAGTCTCTTTTGCCATGGATCCCTAAAGCCTACCCATGCTCCACTTCCTCCTGCCCCAAGAGACAGACTCCAGATTCAGAACTTCTGCTCTAGACTACAGGAAGCTAGAAACCCTGGTCAGAAAAGACCAGAAGGAGATTGAGAGGAGGAAGATGAGGACTGGCCTGCTGTTTCCGGCAGTCGACAACCTCGAGTCCAGGGTCAATAAATTTTGGGCTTAGACTATCAAAACCCAGAGAATTTTATAGATTATGCAGCTCAGGGATTCCAAAAAGGTCTCCTCTCTCTCAGGAACCAGGTATGGTGGAAATAACTGGCCTGGGGATTGAGAATCTGGGACCGCATTTAGACTCTGCAGCAGGGTCCAAAATGGGTTGGGCTTTTTGTACTGAGCTGCTGCAAACTTGATGAGCATTCTTAAATCCTACAGGACTCTGAAAGAAGTCTGACCCACAGGTTACACAGTGGAAGAAGAACAGAGCTTCTCTGTACACCAGAGAGAGCAGTGTTGTGACAGGAAACAGGACATGGTGAGCCGACTAAGCCGATTTCTTGGAAAAAAGGCTCAAACTACAAGAAGATTGCATTGAACCTGATTGCCGTAAACTCAAGTGTAGATCTAAGAGAATGCTGGTATTAAGAGATAAAAGCCTCTGAACTGGGAGGAGAAAAGAAGGGAAAGGCCAAATGATTCAGCTCGAAGTTTCATCTGTTTTACTGTGAAGACAATAAAATCAGCTATGCTCATGTTATTAAAGAAATGGATTGGGGAGAAAATAGAGTGTCAGGAGTGTGGGAGGGGAACTTGTGGTGTGTGCCTGGATGGAGCTGCACCCCCCTCTCCTTCTAACTGAGAAAAGAAATGATTCTGTAACACCTGCTATTAATGTTCCCCTTAGGGACTCTTGTGTCACAGTGCATTATGTGCAGGGTTGCGGTAATATGCTGAACAGCAGTTCGAATCCACAGCTGCTCCACAGGAAAAAGATGGGCAGTCTCCTCCTGTAAAGATTTACAGTCTCAAAAACCTAACAGAGGGTTGTCAGGGGGTAGAACTGACTCATCGGGGGCAGGTTTGGTGTCGGGTTCTCTGTGCTCCCCTGGAAAGCTCTGGTGATACTGTGGTTAAGATGACTCAAACCTACCAGCCAGTCAGCCAGCCAGAAAAATGAGGCTGTTTGTTAATAATCCAGTCTTGAAAACCTGAGGAGGCAGTTCTACTCTGAGTTAGAATCAACAGGACACAGCTGATTTGGGGATTTTTGGTTACCAGGACTCCCCTGGTAAGGGGATGAACCGATCTTGTGTAAAAAAAAATGTCCACCAACTCGAGGTGGTAGAGGTCTGCAGTGGGACAGGAAACAAATAGTTTCTGAAATGGCAGGGTTGTAGAATGAACAGGATCCTGTGATGGGGAGACGAGAGGAGAAAGGTGTGAGGATGTGGAGTTAGGCTGCGCAGTCTGAGATGCATGGTCAGTGAGAAATTATCAGTGCAGATGGTCACAGGCTTTTAAAGAATTTAAAAATATCTACAAGTATACAATATTAACTCTCTCTACCTCCAAACTTTGACACTGCGATAATGGTCACCCATGGGGGACAGTGTTTAGTGGAGCTCCCTGATTAAAACAAGCTTGGGAGCAGGAGTGGCATCCACTTCTGAAATAGCTTGTCTCTGGAAACTCTATGAACGTGGAGAAATGATGAAAATTATACAAGTGTTCAGGTCTTTAGTTCATAGGGTCACTATGAGTCATCTATGACTTGATAGCACTTAACAACAACAACAACCCCCAAACCAGAGTTACTGAAGAGGAATGATGTTAGTCTGGAGACTGAAGAGTGCCTGGGCCAAGCCATAGTCTTTGCAATTACTTGCTATGCATCAGAAAGCTGGACAATGACTAGGGATGATAGAAGGAGAACTGATGCCTTTGAGCTTTGGAGCTGGAGAAGAGTATTGAATATACCATGGACTGCTAGGAGAACAAACAGGTTCATCCTAGAGAGGGTGAGACCATGCTGCTCCTTGGAGGCAAGGATTCTGAAGCTTCGTCTGACATACTTTGGACATGTTGCAAGGAGGGATCGTTCTTAGAGAAGGACATCATGCTTGGGAGGGTGGCAGGACAGCAGAAGAAAGGAAGCCCCTGGATGAGATAGATTAACTCAGTGACTGAGGAAATGAGGGAATGTGTATCAGGGACAATGAGGTTGGCTCAGAATAGAGCAGGCTTCCAAGCTGTTGTACATAGGTTCGCTATGAAGTTGCAAGCGACTAGACAGCACATAACAACAACAACAACAACCCCCAAAAGAGTACGTGTTACAGTTACCCTTTGCAATCACTACTAGGAGTGTGTTTGTGAGTGCAAGTTATGGGCTAGGGATCTGTCAGATTTTCCCATGGCAGAGGAGGGGAGAAATGAGATTGAGAGTTTCTGCATGGTCTGAAAATGCACATCTCCAAGAAATGGTAGAATTCTGAGGAGAGTACTGGTTTTCCCAAGGGTGTGAGACAAAGGGGTATGTTAATTTGATTCTAATCTCCAACACTGGACAACTGATACAGAAGTTTTATGTAGCCAGGGAAAGCAAGATCCAGACAGGGAAGTGAGTTGTCCAAAATCACATCTAAGGTACGGCACAGCCTGAACCCTGCCTATGGGGCTATGCAGATGGGTGGTACCTGTATGTGTCTCTCACGGTGTCAAAACTGAGCTTGGGCTGTCGGCCAGGGAAGGGTCCCAGGTAGGTCCAGTTATAACCTTGCAGGCTTGGGTAGGTCTCAACCTTGACTTTGAGGCTCAGTGATTTGCCCAGCATCACCTCCTGGAACAGACTCTGCTCAGAGGTCAAGTTCAAGTAGGCATTCTCTGAAAACAGAACACAGAGATTAGAAGCTTTGGGAAAAATATCCCTTTGATCATTTGACAGTCCACCCATCCATCCATCCATCCATCCATCCATCCATCCTGCTGGACTTCACCTAAACACCTACTGTTTGCTGGGCGTACAGATAGTCACCACCTCCAACCACAAGTTGTCCTTTGACATCTCTTGTCCCACCACTCATGTCCATGACCCAAAGCTCAAAACCATTTCCTCACTGAGTCTGCGGGAGAACCCCTATGCTCCTTTGATGGAGGTGAATTTCTATTCTTCTGTGAGCCTTCATATCCTCTTTGTATAGCAAAGAGTTGAATATGTCAGTGATATTTAATTTTAAAAATCTTTTTAGTAGTAGTAAAAACAAACTCTGTTGCTTTTTAACAAGTCTTCAGCCATTTCCTCTTCTGGTAAGAGCTCAGCCAGTCAGAACAATTGGTTTCCCCTGCATCCGGGGACTGGTTCAGGGAAGGCACATGGATTAGTGTGGTTAAACTGTAAAATTTTTGTTGTAACTCTGGAAAAATAGAAATTCTCTTTATCCTGGAGACACCAAGCATAGGAGTCTTAGTGCCGCCAAGGGAAAGTTGCTTGAGGACTAGAGGACTAGGCCAACAAGTGAAAAGGTAGAGTTGAGCTTTTAGGAGCAATAAATAGATTCTTGTTCTCATAGTTGGAACATCTAGATCCAATTGTACATAAAGCTGATGTCCATGGAATTTTTAAAAAAATATTTAAGTGCTCTTTTCATTTTTTAAATTGTGTTTTGAGTGAAAGTTTACAAAGTTTATTTTTTTCAATCAATAATTCATGCTACATGGCCAATAAAGTAATCTTTTGACTCAGCCTTGAGCTGATTTTTGTTACCTACAGCTGAGTCTTGACTTGCTGCTTCTACTGAAATCTTGAATAAATTAAAAATCTTCTCTTGTTGAATTTCAGGTGACAGAGATGTTACAAGAACCCTCACTCTCAGCCTTTACACTCTTCTTGTGAGAGGTGCTGAGAAGTCTCCTGCAAGCCTCACCTAATTCTAGGTATCTTAAATTTATGCTACTACCACGTCTCATGACATCAGTTGAGGACTGAGGGGTGCCTGATTCAGGACATACTCTTTCAGTCACTTGCTATGCATCTGAGAGCTGGACAGTTAATAAGGATGAGAGAAGAAGAATTGATTCTGTTGACCTATGATGTTGGAGATAAGTGCTGAACATCCCAGGGACCAACAAAAGAACAGATATGTCTTGGAGAGGGTGCAGCCAGTGTGGTCCTTGGAGTAAAAGATGGGGAAGCTTCGTCTCATATACTCTGGACAGGTTGCTGGGAGAAGTTATTCCTTGGAAAGAGCCATCATGTTTGGAAATGGGGAGAGACAGTGAAGGAGAGAAAGGTGGATTGACACAGTGACTGTAGCAATGGGCTTACGTGTATCAGAGTTTGTGAGGACGGCCCATAATAGGACAATGTTCAGGTCTGTTGTTTAAAGGGTTACGATGAGTTGCACTCAACATGACAGCATCTAACAACCACAACAACAATATTTGATGCCTGCTCAGAAGTCTCCCATGTCTTTCCATTGCCTTCATTCCCCAGCTTGGCATTCAAGGCTCTCTTCAACCAGGGTTCTTTATGTCTATCCAACCATCTCCCCCTGTCGAGGTCACTCTGTCTCTCTCAGTCAATGTTCTGCTCTACCCATCTGGGTTTCCTTATATCCTTTGGACTCAACAAGGTCATTCCAAACTTAGAGATTTTGTTCAAACCATTTTCTTCACCAGCCATACCATCCTCTTCCATGTTTTCTGAGCTGCAAGTTTCCTCTACTGAGCTGTTTTGCATATTGCTATGATGCTGCAAACTATGCCACTGGAATTTCAAATACCAACAGGCTCAACCATGGTGGGCAATTTTCAGCAGAACTTCCAGACTAACGATCTAACAATCAGCACTGGTCATTTACTTCCAAAATAATAGGACCTCGAAAAACCTAGGAATAGAAGTGGAACATTGTTGGAGATAGTGCCAGAAGATGAAGCCCTCAGGTTGAGAGAGGCACTCGAGATTCGACTAGGGAAGAGCTGCTTTCTTAAAATAAAGTCCATCTTAATGACACTGCTGGAGAAGAACTTTGACCCAATGAAGAACCTTCATGCCAATGTGGCAAGCTAAAAATTAGGAGAAATAGCTACAAACATATTAATAAATGGAGCATGGAAATTCTGAAGTATATGAATATAGGAAAATTAGAAGTTGTCCAAAATAAAATGGAATGGACAAAACTTGACATTGTAGGCATTAGTGAACTCGGATTGATACTGGGCATTTTGAATTAGACAATCATATTATCTACTATTATTGGAATGACAAATTGAAAAGGAATGGAGTCACACTCATTGTGAAAAAGAACATTTCAAGATTTACTCTGAAGAACAATGTTGTCAGTGATGGGATACTATGCATACAAGGAAGATCTGTTAATGTAACTATGGTAATGTAATGTAATACACATCAACCACTAAATCCAAAAGTGAGGAAGTTGAAGATTTCTATTGATTGTTGCAGTCTGAGATTTATCAAATGAGCAAACAAATGCATTAATAATGAATTGTGATTGGAATGCAAAAGTTAAAAACAAAGAAGAAGAACTTGCTATTTGGTAAACATGATCTTAGTGACCGAAATGAGGTCAGTGATCCATGATAGAATTTTGTACAATGAACAATTTATTCATTGTTAATAACTTTTTAAAATAAAGCAAACAGACCATAAATGGTGACTATACATGCAGACCTTGCCTGAAGGGATACACAAAAATCAAATAGATTACATTTGTGGAAGGAGACAATGGAGACATAAACAGTTAAAACCAGGTCAGGGACTGATTGTAGAACAGATTATCAATTATTCATATGCAAATTCAAATTGAAACTGAAGAAAATGAAAACAAGGACATTTCAACCAGAATATGGCCTTGAGTTTACCCCACTCAGGATGAATTTGAAAACCATTTCAAGAAAAGAATTGACGCATTGAACATTAACAATAGGAAGACCAAACGAATTATAGTATGACATAAAGGTTATTCTACATAAAAGAAGCAAAAGATCATTAAAAAGACAGACAACACAGACGAGAACAGTGGATGTTAGGAGAGACTATTAAACTTGCTCTTGAAAGGGAGCTCTGGTGGCCTAGTGGCAAGAAGCTACACTGCAATCCGGAAGGTGTACAGTTCAAAGCCACCAGATGCTCCAGTGGAGAAGGAGGGGCAATCTCCTCCCATGTGATTAACTTCCTCTGAAAACCTATCAGAGAGTCAGTTATAAGTCAGTTCCGACTTTAAAAGTACACAAGAAGTAGTATATGATGAACCAATGGTACTGAAAGAAGAGACGCCCAAACTTCCCTGATGGCACTGTCAAAAAATAAGACACAAAACCTGACAAAACAGAAAGAAGAGTTTCAGCAGAGAAGCAACTCTAGGTGTGCTCACTGGTCTACACTAAGAAATTTGAAAGACAATTGTCTGGCCAACTGAATGGAAGACGTTTGTCCCCACTCAAAAAAAAAAAAAAGGTGATGCAACAAAATGTAGAAATTAACAAGCAGTATTACTAATACCAACTGCAAGCAAAATCTTGCTGCAGGTTATTTTAAAAATGGCCAGAGCACCACATGGGCAGAGAACTGCCAGAAATTCAAGCTGGATTCAAAAGAGGTACGGAACAAAGGCTATCATGACTGAGGTAAAGGATCTTGCTGAAAGCAGAGAATACAAGAAAGATGTTTACTTGTACTTTGTTGACTATGCAAAGGCACTTGATTGAGGGGATCATAATAAACTATAGCTAACATTGAAAGAATGGGAATTCCAGAACACTTAAGGGTGCTCATGTGGAACCTGTCCATAGGTCAGGAAGCAGTAGAACAGAACAAGGTAATTTTGCAAGGTTTAAAACCAGGAAAGGTATACAGCAGCATGATATCTTTTATCCATATCTATTGTACTGCAATCCCAAAGGCACGTGGTTCAAATCCACCAATTGCTCCTGGTAGGAGAAGGATGGACAATCTCCTGTGTGATTAATTGCCTCTGAAAACCGACTGGAGGGTCAGCTATAGGTCAGTTCCAACTCGATGGCACACAACAATAACATTCAGTGTGTGTATTGAACAAATAATTTGAGAAACTGAAGTTTATGAAGAAGAATGTAGCATCAAGATTATGTTATGGAAATGACACAAGTTTGCAGAAAATGAAGAGGTTGTGAAGCTCCTAGTGAAGAAGATCTAAGATAACAATTTTCAATATAGATTATCTGCCAATATCAATAAAATAAAAACCCTCACTACTGGACCTATGTACAACAGCTCTGAACCTTGCTCTGTCTTGAACCAGCCAACTCATTGTCTCTGACACACTTACCTTCATTACCCCACACTGAGTGAATCCCCCTCATCCAGGGTCTTCCTTTCCTGTGCTGTCCCTTCACCCTTCCAAGCATGATGTCCTTCTCCAAGGTCTGGTCCCTCCTTGCAATATGCCCAAAGTATGTCAAACAGAGCTTCAAAATCCTTACCTCCAGAGAGCAGCCTGGTTTCACCCTCTCCAGGATGAACCTCTTTGTTCTCTTAGCAATCCATGATATATTCAACACTCATTTCCAGCATTACAACTCAAAGACATAAATTCTTCTCAGAGATGACTACACTCTTAAGAAGCTGCTCTTCTTCCTGATTTCCAGCCCAATGACTGGCCCTATCCCCAGTTAGCCACTCTAGCCAGAAACCAAGAGGTCTTCCTTAACTCTTTTTCCCTCTTCACTCTTCTATCTCAACAGTAAGCAAGTCTTATCCATTGTCTCTCCTACATAACTCTGGAGAATCCTTTGCAATCTCCATTGTGGCCCTATCCTCTACCATCTCCAACAAGAATTATTAGATCAGCTGTTTCTAGCCTACACACACACACACACCCCTCATAACAAATTTATGAAATCATTATCTCCACTTTACAGGTGGAAAACTGAGATATAGAGAAATTGAACAACCTAGTAGTCATTGGCAAAGCCAGGCTGGAATATGCTTGAGGGTATGCTCTTAACTGTCATGACATACTCTCTCGATGCAATCCAACCCATCCCTCTTCCCTGTAGAACATCCAGTGACTTCTACTGCAGACAGGGTAAGCGCCATTGTTGCTGTTAGCTGCCTCGAGTAGATCCTGACTCAAAACGACCCTATGAACAGCAGACCTCAAGCTTGCCCTATCCTGCATTTTCCTCAAGATCTCCGATATTCTTGAGCCCATTGTTGGAGTTGCCATCTTGTTGGGGGTCTTCCTCTCTTTTGCTGACTCTCCACTTTTCCCAGCATGATGTCTTTTTCCAAGGACTGGCCCCAATTGACAACATGCTCAAAATATGTGGACAAAGTTTCACCATCCTTGCCTCTGAAGAGCATCTTGGTTGTATTTCCTCCAAGACAAATGCACACAACACACTTAAGTTAATGCTCCTCTACCATTTGACCTGCCATTTTTACCTTATTTGAGCCATTCCCCACATCACTCTATCTCCCTGCTTCTTCTTCTTCTTCTTGTGTGTTGTCAAGTCAGAACTGACACTCTCCCATGAGTTTTCAGAGGCAATAAATTCCATGGAAGGAGACTAGCCATCTTTCTCTCATAGAGCAGTTGGTAGATTCGATCTGTGTATCTTCGGATTGGCAGTCCAGCTTCTTATCACTAAACCACCAGAGCTGTCAGTCATCTTTGTATGTCATTGTCAAGTACACCATTCTCTTTGTTTTGGGCCTCCAATATCCTGTTTCCTCTGTCAGAAGCCCTGCTCTCACATCCTTCTGTCTGGTTTAACCCCTTTAATCCTTCTCATCCCCATTTAGAGGCCACTTTCTCTATGCTTGAGTTGAGGGAACCCTTTGGTCTTCCCACAATACCCTGTACTTCCTTCACATAATCACTTTGGATGATCATTTCCTGCCCAATTGTCTGTGTTGCCTGAGAACTAGCACCCAGGACAGTGCCAGACATGAATAAATAAATAAATAAATAAATAAATGAGTGAAGGAATTGGTAGGGGGGAATGAGTGAATTTTTGGACACTGGATTCCAAAGCTCTGGTGGTCTAGTTTGTAAGTAGTTTTGCTTTTAACCCAAAGGTCACTCCTCTCTGGTGTTCTGAATCCACTTTAGAAAGATAGGGAATCTCCACCCTTGAGATTTAAGACTTGGAAATCCAAGAAAGAGCGCGTGCACGAGAGCTTTGAGTCAGTCCTGACGTATAGCGTCAGAATGAGAAAGAGGATTCCAGAGCAGGGAGGGGAAATATGGTGTCAGATCAAAATGCAGCAATGCACTATGGGAACACCAAGTGGGGAAAGAGGAATTCTGGGAGAAAAACCTAGCCAGGGCTTACGGGTTCTAATGTGAGTATTCAGTGTCTCCGTCTTTGTTACCAGCTCCCTCCTTCCCCAACCACTTAGGCACTATTCACCTCAATTTCCCTGCAAACTCTTCCCCGCCACCCTGCTACTCACCTACCACCCGAAGGACCATGGAGGTCGAGTGGATTCCTTGGGCACTGATAGCCACACAAGAGTAGTTGCCAGCATCTTGGAAGCCTACGTGATCGAGTTTGTGAGTCAAGGTTTTAATGTAATAATTTTCTTGGAAGTCAGCTTCTTGATAGTTTGTCAGCTGCAACCAAAACGAATGGAGATTGTTTAAGGATCAGAAATATTTAGGTTTAAAGCCTTACCTCTTGGGGAATTACTAGGTGTCTGTTGTTGGACAAAGGGATTGAATGTTGGGATTCGGTCTCTTCATCTGTAAAATGGTTCTAATATTAACTTAGGGTTGTGGTGAAGATTAAAAGAGGCAGTATATGTAAATGGTTAGGGCTGCACTAGGTCCATAGATGGCACAGCTGGTGAGAATCCGGAGGATCAAAGGAGGGGCTTTGCTGTTAGTAGCCTAGTGTTGCTTCCTCCCCAGAATGCACTTCCTCTCTCCCAAAATCTTTCAAGGAAAGCCTTCTCCTCCTGGACATCAAAGTCTAGGAGCCTTTTGTATAGGTGACAAGTGAGCTGACATCTGGCCCCTCACAGGCTGGGTTAAGGTTTGCAGGCTCCACAAAGTCACCAGGACCCTGAGTCCTGTTTAGACTAGCTCCTGACTGTCAGTGTGATCTCGAGCAACTCTGCTTCCCTCTCTGGGTCACCTGAGCCTCCAGCCCAGGCAGCCAATTTGGGGCAGGCCGGGGGCTCCATCCTTCGGGACCTGGGGTGCTGTCTCCCCAGGGACTGACCTTGGTGTTTCTGTGTTGGAGGTACATTTCAAAGCTCGGGTCCATACTTCTGACTGCACACACGATCTGGGCAGCCTCCCCTTGGATCCGCACCAGCTCCGCAGGCTCCAAGGTCAAAACCGGGGGTCCTGAGACTGAGGCCATGGAGAGTAACTTATGAGCAACTTGCTCCCTGCCATGTGCCAGGCCACTCTTCCACCCCACACCCTGGAAGCCAGCCTTGCTTCCTCAATATTTCCATTTAAGCACTCTGACAACTAGTCCTGTGTCCAGATAGAAATGTCCTTGGGTACCCCCAACCCACCTCCACTCTTCCTCTGAGCCTTCACTGCCATGCTTTTCTCTACATTCCCACCGCAGCCACCCGCTGGCCTCCCTGCCTCCCTTCCACCCTACAACCCCTGCTCCTCAAGCCACCAAACTTATCTCTTCAAAATGTCAATTTGAACTTCCTGTTCAAAGAGTTGTTAGCTTCCCGTCATTCTCCGAACAAAAAGTCCTTTTCACAGCCCCAGGCTCTGTAGCTGACGGCTGCCACCTTTTGATCACTGCACACAGCCACACTGACCTTCCTCCCCACCCCAGGACTTGCCTGGACTCCCAGAATGCTTTCCCTTCCATGCTTGCATGAGTGACTGTTCTCAACTGTAGCGGGAGATTTTGTTGATGTTATTGTTGTTGTTTTTTTTTGTTAATTAATTCTTTAGAGATTTCATCTCTGACTGGTCTAGCTGAATCACTCCCTGTTCATTCCTCTCAGCTTTTTCTGGCTTGGTTTCTTATTAATCACGACTTGTCCTTATTTTGTTTATAGCCTGTCTCTTCCAGTAGAAATGTCATGTCCATAAAGGCTATATATCCCCAGCAGTTTTCAGAGTGTCTGATGCATAAAATAAAAAGCCCCACCCTTGCCCAGTTGATTTCAAATCAGGTCGCCCCTCCGAGTTTCAGAGGCTGTGAATCTTTACAGGAAGAGACTTCCCACCTTTCTCCTTGACGTGGCTGGTAGATGCAAACTGCCAGCTTTTGGCTTAGCAGCTTGGCATGTTACAAACCGTGCTACCAGGGCTCCTTCAGTGCCTGATACATACTAGGTTTCTGTTGTTAGATGCCATCAATATGAGTACAACTCATAGTGACCCTATGAACAACAGCTCCAAACCTTGTCCTATCCTGTGCCTTCCTCATTGTTTCTGACACATCAGCCGATTGCAGCAGTCACTGTGTCAATTCATCTCATTAAGAGTCTTGCCTTCTTTTGCCTACCCTCCACCTTTCCAAGCATGATATATATCCCTTTCCAAGGAATACCCTCTCCTAAAAAGAACTCAATGCAAACCCACCACCATTGAGTAGAGTACAACTCATAGCAACCCTCTGTCAAGATTGTTAACAGCTTCAGCTTGCTTGACTCCACAATCAACAGTCTTGGTACCAGCAGCCAGTATATCAAAAGATGAATTGCACTGGGAAGGTCTGATGTCTGGGACCTCTCCAAAATACTGAAGAGCAACAATGTCAATTTAGAGGCTAATGTGCTCCTGATTCAGGCCATGGTCTTCACAATTACTTGCTATGCATCAGAAAGCTGGACAATGACTAGGGATGATAGAAGGAGAATTGATACCTTTGAGCTGTGATGCTAGAGAAGAGTATTAAATATACCATGGACTGCTAGGAGAACAAACAGGTTTGTTTTGTCCTGAAGAGGGTGAAATCATGCTGCTCCTTGAAGGTAAGGATTCTGAAGGTTGTCTGACATTTTTTGGGTGTGTTGCAAGGAGGGACCAGTCCTTGGAGAGGGACATCATGCCTTGGAATGGTGGAGGGACAGTGCAGGAGAGGAAGACCCTTGATAAAATGAATTAACTCAGTGACTGGGGTAATGGGGGTAGGTGTGTTAGAGATAATGAAGTTGGCTCAGGATAGAGCAGGGTTCAGAGCTGTTGTACATAGTCTCTATGAGTCACAAGCAATTTGATGGCACATAATGACAACAACAACAACAACAACATCAGATTTCTGATGTAAATTCTTACAAAAATAAACTGCACATCTTTCTCCCCAGGAGTTGCTGGTGGATCTGAACCATGGGAGAGGCTGGGCCTTTGGTTAGCATTGCAACAACTAAACCTCCAGCACTCCTTGGCGATCATTCTCAAACGCTTATCATTACAGGGTCCTAATTTCTCTACAGGTCCTCAGCTTGGAATTTGCTTGCCCTCAACAGTCCTTCCAGAAACCAAGATTCTGTCTCCAGCTTAGGACATGAGAGGGTAGAGTTGAGGGGTGAATCAGTGAGAGAAAGAGACTCCTCCAACATCGCAGCCCTCTCCTCCCACCACATCCAAAGTGGTCATGTCTGTGCTCTTCCCCTACCTTGGCTCATCCCTTCAGCCCCAATTCAGGTGCCCACAGTCAGTACCAGGCTGGTACCACGTGGAAGATCACACCTGCCTGTGTGGGAGGTTCTCGGCTGCCCTTTCTTTGTTCTCAGAACATGCAGAGCCTCTTCCCACCTCTTGAGGTTGTACCTGCTGCTTCTTCCACAGAAGCAGATCTTGCTACACTCCCTTCCTACCATTCACATCTCAGAGCAAATAAAATGTCATTTCCTCAGAGATTCAATCCCTGTCTTTCTTCGTTCAGTCCCTTTGTTTCCTAGTGTATCACATTTTCTGAGGTGCTCTTGCCCATGAAGCACTTCACTTGTCTGTGGTCTGTCTCCTCCCCACCTCCCTATCCTTGCCTATTGGCCCCAAGAGATGCCACATAGATGTCTGCAAAATGATTGGCAGGAAGATGTGAAAGGAGCACATCCGGGACCTTCCATCCAGCTGACCCCAGGCACCCCCTGCAGGCTGCCAGCTCTCCAAAACCCTGCCCCACGTACCCTTCTGCACCTCAAGCTGGATGCTGATGGACAGTGACTTCCTACCATCGATCACAGCGCTGCACTGGTAGTCTCTGCTGTCCAGGTACTTGGCCTTGTGGATGGTGAAACCATGCCAGCGTGAGAAGGAGTAGCTGGTGCCTGGCCGGACCGGCCGGCCCCGCACGCGCATCAGTTGGACACTGGCCTCCAGCTCTGGGTCGGTGAGCATGCACGGCAGCAGTGCATCCTGACCCTCAAACACTGTTACCCGCTGTGCCAGGATCTTCCAGGGGCGCAAAGGGTCTGAGACAGAGGAAGTGAAGAGTTAGAATTGCCTTCTTTCTACCAGGCCCCCCAAGCAGTCCATGGATGGAAGTGAAGGGGGGGCAGGCAAAGAAAGGACAATCATTTGCCCTGGGTCATGTAATAGCAGGACAGAAAAGCTGATGGAGAAGCAGAGAAAGCTCCGGAGTCAGACATACAAGGTTGCAATCCCAGTCCCACTACTAGATGCTGTGTGGCTTTGGGCAAAAGACTCAACCCCTCTGAGCCTCTGTAAAAGGCCCTTCTTCCTAGCACCTTCCGTCCAGACTTATTGTAAGAATTACATTCCACCAGAAGAGTGACTACTGGTCATTGTTAATAGTAAGTGCATAAGAAGCAGAGTGCTGGAAACATTCTGACAGTTAATATCGCCTCCCCCATCCACTCCCAGAGGGGACTGCTGGAAAGTTTCTTGGTTGCCTGGTGGAGGACTTCACCTTTTACAAAGAGGTGGATGGTGGCGCTGCCCCCCAAGGGGTCTCCAGGCTCAGTGCAGCGATAGGTCTCCGTGTTTAGGAAGGAGGCATTGGTGGTGGTCAGGATGCTGACAGAAGCCTCTTTGCTCAGGGTCCACCCGGAGGAGATGGGGCTGTCCCACTCCACACTGCTGTTGCCCACACATCGCAGCGTTACCGTTGTGCCCGGCTCCACAACCAGCTCAGGACCTTGGGGCTCTATAACCGGGACTCCCTGACCTGAAAGAGGGAGAGGATTGCAGACAAAATGAGGCCTCGATGCCCAGCCTCTGACATGGTGATACCCTGGCAGGGCCTGGGCTAGGTGCTGGGCTGAGCCAAGCTCTTCTCAGCTGTATATTTTAGGATAACCTAGAGCAGGTCTCTCTCTGGCCATTTGCTCAGCCCCGTATTCTATCCCTGCTTGGAGTGAGCTAATGGTTCTGAGACAGGGGTTCCAGGAGCTCTTTCAGCCCCCTACCCATCCCCCTGTCCCACTGGGGTCTCTAAGGCTCCTTCTCAACTGCAGCTGCATCATTCTACTCTCCAGAGAGGAGACTCCTTTGAACTGGAGACCCATTTAAAATGTGTTCTTCTGGATCCCCAGGGCTTGGCTTAGGATAGGAGACTTGAACAAGCAAATGAAGAAATAAACAGGGTTCATGGCCAAGTCCTCTGGCTGCATGCAGATGGAGAAGAGGAAAGGGAGCAGACTCCTAGCCCAGTAGGGGGAAGGCTTCGAGGGCTGTCTGCTGTGCCCACTCACACCTTTGAACACCCAGTCTGTAGCACTCACAGTGTGGATGAGGGACTCAAGCGCCTGGGATTTCAATCCCAGGCCCCTGTTAACACCTGAGAGCAATGGACAACTTACCTAACCTCTCTGTGCCTCAGTTTCCATATCCATAGAATGGGAATAATAATTGCACCATTCATTGAGATGTTAAGAGACAGAAGTGTATAGAAAGCCTTAGAACATCACCTATTTACAACCACTCTGGAAGGCAGTATAGCACTTTCTCAAAAAGTTGGAAATAGAAATACCATTTGACCCAGCAATTGCAGTACTGGGAATATACCCTAAAGAAACCAGAACTGCCACCCAAACAGATATATGCTCACCCATGTTTATTGCTGCATTGTTCCCAATAGCAAAGAGATGGAAGCCACCCAAGTACCCATAAACAAATGAATAGCTAGAGAAGCTGTGGTATATTCACACAAAGGAATGCTATGCAGCACTGAAAAACAAGGAACTCATAAAATATTATACAAAATGGGTGACCCTAGAGGACATTATGCTGAGTGAAAAATCTCAGTCACAAAAGGACAAATACTGCATAATGCCAACTATTATAAAACAAGACTGATATGGGCACTGGGGTACACTAAGTAAGGAGGGGATAAGTAATAAATACTGTATTGAAATAGATGAGGGAAAGAATTATCTGAAATAAATATATGATTAGGTATTATTTACATGACAACAGTCTAAATTAAAAGGTGCATAGCAAAGTGGACTGGGAGTGGGGGAGGGAGGAAATTGTGCAACAATGGAAGAACTTTTTAAAGAGAAAAGCGAACTGGTGATGTAGGGAGGAAAATGTGCAACAATGAATGAATGGAAATCCAAGTTTTCAGTAAACTTCCATTAAAATATCATAAATAAATATAAAATAATAATAATAAAAAAGAAAACAATTTTTTTTAAAAAAAGAACATCACCTGTCTCCAAGTAAATCCTTAAACCAAACCGACCACCATGTTTGTCACCTACTTTACCCCCAGCAGCCTATCCTTGCACCCCAACACTGCTGTGTTTACTGGAGAGCCAATCTCTTTTAAGGAATATTTTCTTGAAGGAGAAAAGAGAACTTAAAACCCATACTGAAGCCTCCGGGAAGAAGGCTCGTTGCCTCTTCAGTGTCAGCATTTTTCCAGGGCCTAAAATAGGGCCCAAGGAGGGAAGTGAGAGCTGATTCAAGGCCTCGGAGGGGCTGCCAGGCGCCCCCAGCCCGAGAGGGCGGAAACACATTGCTGGAGCCCTGGCCTAGCCCCCGGTTTCCTCTCAGCCCACAGACCCTGTCCCAGGATGGTCTCACTTCTGCTTGCTGACACTCCTGGCCACAGCCACCTCTCCAGAGATCAGATGCCACCCGCTGGACATTGAAATTCCCTGGGTTCTGAAACCTGGCCCTGCCACTGACCCCACTGGGTGGCCCTGGCAAGAGCGTTCTGTCCTACACCTTCTGTTCTGGGGAAAGGGAGCAAGATTCCCCGTGCTCTCTGCCTCCTGGAGTCATTGTTCTTCACAACCAAAAGGTGAAACGGTGGCTGTCCAGTTGAGTCAGGCTCGTAGTGACGCTCTGCCAGGCTTCTGGAGCTGTATGTAGATGTTTACAGGAGGACACTGTCTATCCTTCTCTCTCAGGGCAGCCGGGGGTGTTGAACTGCCAGCTTTTTAGTTAACAGTTTAACATGTAACATACAGCCACAATAGCTCCTTAAACAGGTGTCTGTCCTCACGTAGGTCTGAGATTTGGAAAGATCTTCTCTATCAAATTGTTCTTGGATGGGTTAGTTTATATTTTGATTTCCCATCTATTAGAGCCGGGTAACCTTTCTGCACAGGAGATCAAGTCAACCCCTATATACCGTCTAAGTCTCCAGGGGCAGTTGGTGGGCCTCACATATGGTAGTGACCACCAGAAGAGGGGATAAGGATCATTTCTGGCAGGATTTCTGCAAATGTCAGTGGAGCTGCTGCTGCCCTTTACTGTGAAGGCTATCAAGGCCCCACATGGGGCTTTGCTGCAGGGATGGGCTTCAGTTGTGGGGTTATGCCAACTTGAGTTTGGAATTGGGTTCTTCCTCTTAGTAGAGATACACTAGATAGAGTACTCTTGGGCTCTTCTTTTGTTCAAAGGGAACAATCTGAGTTGCCACCTCTAAGGCCAGCTGCTACTCTTACGCGGACTAGAGGAGAACCGTGCACAATTTTCACTGACTGGTTTTCCAGAAGTACATCCCCAGGCCTTTCTTTTGAGGTGTCTCTGGGCAAACTAGTGTCTCCAACCTTTCGGCTTAGTGTCTGTGTTGACATTTGGACTACCTGGCACCTTCCACTCCAAGAACTCTCTGGAGTGGAATGGGATGGGGTGAGGTTGGGGAGGAAGATAATGACATGCAGCCCCAACCAGTCATCAATTCCAGCCTGCTTCATTCGGCTTCGCTCTGTCCCACTGACGTTCAGTCAGAACCAACTCACAGTTGAGTCTCCAATGGGTTCCCAAGGCTCTCAATTGCAGAGAAGATAACTGCTCATTGTTCCAGCTCAGGCCTGGAGCCAGTGGTGGCTTTGAACTGCCAGAGAGGTGCGGCCTCTGGATTAGCAACACAATTCTATGGGCTGCCAGGAGTGGCTTCAAGTGATATGTTTATATTTTAATGTAATTAATCTAATACCTAATCAAACCCTTATCATCAATTGACACATTTCTGACATCTGTTGAGGCTCTGACACTCAGGTCCGTAAAGATGCGTCATTCTGGGATTCAGCTCTGTTGTCACTGCATAGACGGGTCACACAGGCAGCTTCCCCTCCCCTAGGCTATGCCTCCAGCTCCTGCTTTTGTCTTCTAGAAGTGTGGTCAGAGGGAGACGTCTGTCCTGTTTGGTCCTATCCTTCTGTCCCATATCTTCACGCAGGGCAGAGCTGACACCCTCAACTTCCACTTCCCACTTCCCCTTGCTGGCGCGGTTGCAGGAAGGCACAGCCTGCCCAGCTCCTCTCCTGGGGTGGGGGCGGGACCAGACCAGCGCCGACCACGTCCACTTCTGGACATGGCATGCACGCTGTCACTCCTCATCTCACACCAAATCCCCTACGTACACTCCTCAGACTGCTCTCACCAGACCTCTCTGTCTCTAGCTCCTTTGAACGTGCCTCCATTCGCCCCAACACATAGAGAGTAAAAACACCAAGGCCTGGGACTCACTCATCCTCAGCTCCAACACCTCACCAGAGTGACCAGGAGAAGTCAGCTTTTACTGCCTCTAAGGTCCTCAAACTCCGCTCTCCATTTCTCACATTCCCAGCCCCTGTCTCAACCCTTCTCTCCAGGGGCGGGTACTGGACAACCCCCATCATTCCCTACAAGCAGGTTCTGGGAGAGATGGCTGGACAAGACAATAAAAATCAAACCTGAAGAATAGTGTGAAATACAATGTATATGAACTTTGTAAGCAAAGAAATATAAAATAATTTTTTAAAAACACACACAAAAAACAAGGATTCCCAGGTGAGTATTTGGGAACTTCTCTGTCTTGATTAGGGCCTGTGCATTTGTTGCAACCCATCAGACCATACACTTCAGAATCTGTGCTTTCTATTGTGTAGAAATCCTACCTCAATAAATAAGAAACTCTCCAACCAATAGGTTCAAGGGGGCCAGAAAAAGAGTTTAAATGGCCAGCTCCCCCACAGAGGCCAATCATGCACCTCCTTGTGGTCCTGCAGCCCTGGGAGTGGATCTTTAGCCATCTCTTCCCATCTCCATCACCCCCAAAACCCTTCCAAATAAGCACATGATTAAATAGGAACTGTGTTTGTTGAGCCAATTGTAGCTACCAGTCATGAACACCAGTTTCTCTCCTCCGACTCGAATTTCTGCTTCGATGGAAATTCTGCAGTTATGGGACTGCACTGCTGGGGGTGGGGTCTCCCACACAGCTTCTCTGGCCTGGGACCCCAGCAGCCCATGTCTGGGGGCCTTTGGCTGAGAAGACTGTCCTGTCTTATCCCCCAGTCTTCCTCTAACCCTAACTCTCTCATGAAGAAAAATATGTGTTCAAATTTCTTCTTCCTGAGCCTCTGCCAGAAGCCACACTCTCCTTGTCTTTCCTTTCTCCTCCCTTGTCTCTGCTCCTCTTACTCAGGTCAAGATTCCCTTGGCTCAGGCCTTTCCCTGTCAGGCCCTCCTTATAGTCAGGGAAGTAAAGGCTAGTAGAGCTAAAAGAGTTCTCAGAGGCCCTCTGGGATCTTCCTACTCAGTGTCACCTGGGAACTGGTGAGAAACCCAGGACTCTCGGACCACACCAGAGATTCCCTCAGGTGCATGGTGACGATTCCCCAAGGTGATCGGGGCACACAGTAAGGTCTGAAAAGCATTGTTCTCATCTAGTCCATCACTACCCCTCTGTCTGACACTAGCTATATAACAACACTGGAAACCAAGAGGTTCAGGGATTTGATCAGGATACAGGTGGGTCAGTGTCCAAGTTGGGGTGGGTAATACCACCCAGCTAGGCGAGTTCCATGCCACCCAACCTCTTTTCCCCCCCACTGCCTCTCTAAAGGAGACACCCAAAGATGTGGAGTCTACTGCTGGGGAGACAACAGTATGGAGCACAAAGAACCAGTAAGGGCCAGGGCTACAAAAAAACACAGGGCTTTCGCTATTACAATTCTCTCCCAAACCCCCCAGTCTTGCTCTTACCATGCTGTGATGTGGTCGCCAGCAGGACCAGAAGAGCCCAGGGGCCCATGACTACAGCAGGAAGAGGCCAGTCTTGTGCAAAAAGCAGAGGATGAACAGGTTTTCTGATTGTGAGCTCCGTGGGGATCGGGACCACTGGACACACGTTCCTCTTCACTGAACTGGCTATTGTCTTCCTCCTCTTCTTCCTCCTCCTCAGACCGATCTCCTGCTTCCTCTTTTGATTTTTTTTTTGCTAGGCAAGGCAACCACAGTGTTTGGAAATCTTGGGTGTTTAGAAGAAAACAAAGACATGACCCCCCAAGGGAGGGGTTGAGGCCCAGAGCAGAACTGGCCTGAGTGGAGAGCTAAGTCTGAAGCCTCTCTGAAGGCACCCCTAGGGTTTCTGGGGGGAAAAGACATCCCTAAGATCAGATAATCAATTAGTGGCACATAATCAATTAGTGGCACATAATAAATTAGTAGCACAAGAAGGGCTTTTAGGAGTGATTAGAAGTCTCTGGATGAGCCGGAAGACACACTGAGTTGAGAGGAACAAGGCTGATAAATAGTTCAAGAAGCTTTCATAGTACACTAACCAATCAATTCCTTTATCTCACTTTCTCCTTTGATTCCTACAAAAACTTGATGTTAGTAAGTACTATGATTATTCTCATTTCACAGAAGGGAAAACTGAAGCTCAGAGAGATCAGACAACTTGAAACCTAGAGCAGTTAGAAGAAGGGAGCAGGAAATCCTGGAAAGTTCAGGAATATCAGGTCCAAACACACAACTAGGGGCAGCATACCATCACAGAAAGAACCCAAACCCCCCAAACCAGAGACATTGTACCTACCTAAAAGTGGGACTTAGGTAGAACAATAGAGAATCCTTTCCACTCCTCTTCCCCAAGCTAACACATTTTTAAA